ACACAACCTAACACTCCCGTCCCTCCCCCAACCCCTCCCTGTCCTGGTTGCTGTCCACTTGACGCCAGCTAAGGCCATCCGGGAAGAGGGTTCTCCGTTGAGAAGATGTACCCAGAAGACTGGCCTGTAGGCATCGTCTTGGTTGATGACTGACATGGAAGGGCGCAGTCTACTGCGGGAGGTGCTTTCCCCGAGCAGGTGGCCCTGAGGTGTATGAGAAAGAAAACCCAGCAGGCCTCCAGGAGGAGTGAGCCAATGAGCGACACTCCTCCAAGCCTCGCATCCCTTTCTGCCTCCTGGCCCCTCCCTTGAGCTCCTGTCCTGACCTCCCTTTATGAGGGACTGTAAGCTGTAAATTCTCCATCTTGCTTCTTTCTGGTCATGGTGTTTATTACAGCATTAGAAACCAAACTGGGACACTGCCTCAGCCCGACAACTACTGAATCGACCTATTTACCTAACAAGAAAAATTAAATTCAAAGTTTTTGTTTGTTGGTTTGTTTTTCGAGACAGGGCTTCTCTGTATTGTTTTGGAGGCTGTCCTGGAACTCGCTCTGTAAACCAGGCTGGCCTCGAACTCATAGAGATTCCCTTGCCTTTGCTTCCCAAGTGCTGGCATTAAAGGTGTGTGCCACCAATGCCTGGCTAAATTTAACACTTTCTATAATAAAGTCATTTTTTGAAAAGTTGCCCAGAATGCACCATTACAAAGTATCGTCACGTTTAGCAATCTAACAGACAACCTTACAAGAAAGAGGGTCTTGGAATAATGCATTATTTATTATTATACGTTCTATGGTTTGATTATATGAAATCAGAATTTTACATAAACTACTGTCTAACATTTGTTTCACAAACAATTTCTCTTTTTTTGGGTCAGTAACAAGAGTCGAATCATCATTTTAAAACACTAGCTTATGTTAATGTACCATGATTTGGAAAAAAAAAGCCAAACTATTTCTCAACTTCAGTGTAGTTTAGTCATTTCCTGTTTTCTAATAGTGTGGATAATATTACGAGAAAACTTCTGTACAAAGTCAGGAGCCAGGGACACCTGGACTTAATGCTGAGAGCATGTGACTCCATGTACTAGCTCTGAGACACACAGCAAGTCACAAGATGGTGTCCTCACAGTGAAACAGGGATGACAGAGTGCCTACTTCATAGTGAACGCGACACAATGAGTTAGCATGCATTTTTAAACATTCCAGCGGCAAGGAACAACAGTGCCACACACGCGAAGCTCCTCTGTGATTGGTCCATGCATCTGCCTGTTTCTAGGGTTTTGATTCGGTTGCACTGTCGACCAAAACTACAGTTAAGCCTATGGTGGCTGGGTCTGCATTGAACACATACAGACTATTTCTTGTCATTAATCCCCAAACGATACAATATAACAACTCTTCATAGACTATGCCTGGGTATGAGTAATCCAGAGATGAGGGGGCATACGGGAGCACTGTGTCCTTATAGCAAATGCTACAGTGTTTTAGATAGGTGTTCCGGCATCTGTAGATTTGGTGGGGGGGGGCTCCTATGACTAAACCCCATAGACACAAGGACCAACAATACTGCTCTGTGCACCTGAGAATTCCTTAAGAACATCCCAGATCAGTGTCTCCTCTGCTGAATTAACCTGTTGGTGGTAAAGAGGGACTGTCCTTGCCTGTATCTTCACTGACAGCTTGCTGTACTGCTACAAAGTTTTCAAAGGTTTCATTTTGCTTTCAAATTTCTTTAATATACTCTTAACCAAGTAACTACCACAGGATTACAAAACCCAGTGGATGTAACAGTGATTGCAGAGCAAGAAGCTTCCTGTCGGCCCTGTTTTCCAATCCTTCCCAGCCAGCACTGCTTTCTTCTCTAGCTGTTTGTACTTTAAACGCAAGCGCGCAGGCAGCTGGTTAGATATTAGCACACTTGACAGCACGCTGAGGATGGACCCCAACCTTAAAGTCCACAGATCAGAAAGCCAGGAACTGAACAGGCAGGGCTCTGTTTGCTGGTCAAAGGGATAGGATCTGAGTCATAGCACGTGGGCCCGGGTGGGGACATGCCCTTCCGAATGCCTTCTAAGATCAGCAGATAGCTGAAGGTTTCTGGTAAGGAACAGGAACGCACCACGGTCCTCTCTCCTAAGAGTTAATTCTAATGGGTCTGTCAGTCACCTGGACGGGAAAACGCCGTCCCTCAGGGGGAGCTGCCTGCTCTATGGGATTAGAAATGATAAGAAATATAGATTGCCACAACAGTCTCCTTGGCATTTCTTGTCTGATAAAAATGCCCCGAGTCACCGTTTATCTCCTACACTACGCTTGTGTATCGCACTGAATTCTTTCCGCTGGGGTCACAAGGGCCAGAGAGCCAAAGGGAGGTCAGAGAGAGACACAAACAAAACCAAACACTTCTCGCTTGTTCTTACGCTAACAAGACACACCCCCAAACAGAGGAGCCGCGCTTTAATGCCCCCAAAGTCTCCAGGGTATTTTTTGGGAGAAAAAAGAATATAGCACCATGGCAAAAGCATCCAATGGGAAAAGGGGTTTATTTGGGCTCATGGTCCCAGAGCGAGAGTCCATAGTGGTGGGGGAGGTGTGGCAGCCGGGTGGCTGGAGCAAGAAGCCAAGAGATCACGTCTCCAGCCGCAAACACAACGCGGAGAGAGCAAAAATGAAGTCGGGGTGAAGCTACAAACTCTTAAAGCCCGCCTCCAGTGACACAGTTCCTCAAGCACGGCTCCGCCTCCTAGAGGTTGTGTAGCTTCCCAAACAGCGCCAACTACTGGGGAGGGGGTCAAGTGTTCGGATATACCAGCCTGTGGGGGGGAAACCGCTCATTCCATGCACCACACTTGCCCCTTCTAAAGTTATTTCCTCAAGCCTACTTTTTGTTTGTTTGATTTTTTTTTTTTGAGACAGGGTTTCTCTGTAGCTTTGGAGGTTGTCCTGGGAACCAGGTCTGTAGACCAGGCTGGCCTTGAACTCAGAGATCCGCCTGCCTCTGCCTCCCGAGTGCTGGGATTAAAGGCGTGCGCCACCACCGCCCGGCTATGTTTAATCCGTTGAGGTAATCAGTGAGTTTGGGCTGGAGGAGACCAGAGCTCTATGGGAGCTGAGGGAAGCAGCTCTGTGCTGCTGGCTCTGGCAGCCTGAGGACGCTTTCCTCAGAGACTTCTAGGTGAAGCCATGGCCTTAATCTAGACTTGGGAAAAATAGGCACTTTGGAGGCAGAGGCAGGCAGATCTCTGTGAGGTCAAGGCCAGCCTGGTCTACAGACCTGGTTCTCAGGACAGCCTCCAAAGCTACAGAGAAACCCTGTCTCAAAAAAAAAAAAATTGCCTAGATGTTCCTTCTCCCAACAAGGAATGTGTTTGCAAATGTTAACTTGCTTAAGACCTAAGTGGGACTTTCCATTGCGTTGGGAATATCACATCTTTTCTTTCGTGCAAGGTCCCGTCTACGGCTTCCATCTCCCGCCGTGACCCCCCTCCCATCCCACACATCATTTTCCATTTCTGGGACTTAACTACCATTGCCCCAGGTTAACCTTCTTGAGAGCATCTACTGAGTCCTCACTTTTCAGCTTCAGATTAGCCACGTGAAGAGGAATATTAAGCCACACGAGGAATACAGGAAGGGATGTCGCACCATACTTTATCAGGGAGAAGTCACTTACATAAGAAACGGAAAACCTGAGGTCAGCAGTCCGCTGGAGCCCCGAGGGGAAGAGAGGCCCCTCCCTCCTAGCTCTTTAGGCCCCTGTCTTCTCCCACGTACCTGTGACCACGCCCAAATGGGCGTGGTCAGCGCTAAGAGCTCTCCCCTCAGTCATGTCCTTAGGGAGGCATTCTTCACAACCTAAAGGCCCTACCTGTCACTCTCTCACAGTCCTCACCCTTGGTGTCCTGACACTACCTCCAGTAGCCTTTGTTCACCACGATGTCTAGCATGACTTCGAGTCCATAAAAGCACTGTGGGTTTTTTTTTTATGTTTTTAATAAATGAAACGAGAGATTCTAGGTTTGTCCAATTCGTTGGTATTATTCCAACTTACATCGCCATGAAAAAGTAGCTACACTTCCTTTGACCTAGCTGAAATTGTTACTGACTAGAACGCTCTGAGATACAGATGAGATCTAAATTCAGCTTGCGAGTGTAGCCCTACACTGTTTACCAGTATCTCCTTCACGAAGAAGAGCGTGGAAAAGCGTCTGCTGTAGAAAGCTTACGCCTTGGTACTGACGCCTTGAGAACCCAGGAAAGACAGAACACACTCCCACGTCAAGACTGCAGGAGGCCGTGAGGAAGCTCACGGTCAGGATTCCTACTGTTAAGGAGAATTGGAATGGATGGAGGTTCCCAGAAGGAAGGAGAATCGAAGGGATCTGGAAGGAATGTGCTTTGCCAAAGGAGAAGGAAGGGCATCCACTGTGGTCCAGGGCCAGCAACTGAAACAGGGAAGAAAAGAGAAGCGGAACTGAAGTCTCCTCCCTTTCTAGAGCGGAGCTTGGACAGTGCCCGAGGGAGAGCATCCGCATCTCTTATTCTGGGTTTTTAACACCGTGACAGCCGAGCAGCAGATTAATAGTCCTTGTGTTTTCTTATACCAATTTTTTTAAAAAAATCAAGCGTACAATTATTTTCTTAGCCAAAAAGGAAAAATGAACAGCCCCTGGGTAAAAATGTACAAAGAGAACGAGTCCCACATGGCAGGGTCAAGTAGGTCTGACGATGGTCCCTAGAGGAGGGTCGCCTGAAAGAACAGGCACCAGGGGATGTGACATCAGAGAACAGAACAGACCGCCTGGACCAACTGGGACAGAGCGGCGGTGAGGGCCCTTCCCAGGGCAGCCGCAGTCTTTAAAAATAAAAACAAAAACAAAAACAGAACATTCTGATGAACAGTTTGCAGTTGGAAAAGGTATTAGTTTAAGCTCAGAAAAACAGTCATCTCACTTCTGGTTTATGAGCATCATGGGAATACAGAGAAATACATTTGTATCTCCCTCCCAGTCGGTGTGAGGTGGTTTTGTGTAAGCACACCTTTTAAAGGGGCTGCTGTTCTCACTGCTGTTCCTTGGTTTTTATTGCATCTTTTCCTCCGGGGCGTTTTGTCTCCGCAACATTGCTTTGAGAGCAGAGGTGTCAGCACTCTCCAGCTCTATTTTAAGCTTGGGTAGGAGCACACATAATGTAAGTAAGAGCTGTGAAACGGGGATGCATGAAATGTCTGCTGCAGAGCAGACTCGGGAGTCATTGGAATTCTGCTCTAAATTAACCTGTAGCTTGGCTACAGAACCCCATTCTAGAGCAATTCACCCAAAAGAGTGGCGAAAGGGTTGGGGGAGACTGAAGTAGAAGGTGGTAGAGACAGCAGACAGACAGATGGGTCGATGGAGACAGATATACTGGGAAAGGGATGGACAGAGATGGAAATCAGACATCGGTTTATTTCACACGGAAGATGAGGAGACATGGGCTTACATAGGAATTGCTTTGAAGCTGGAATTATTCTGTATGCTAAAGCAAAAGACTCTCTTTCTAAATGAAGCAGAGCACTAGGATATAAGGAAGTAGTTATTCATCACTGCGGATCACAAAGACTCCCAGCATGGGAAGGGATTTATAGTGGTCAAGTCACACAAAGAAATCTTCCTGAGATGTTAATACTCAATATCTAGGCTTTCATTCTCTTTGAGGTCTTGATTTGGCTTTTTTATTTTAATAACGACTTCCATCAAGCTCAGAGAGTGCCCCACACAGAAACTCTGAGGTGAATTTGAAGCACGTAAAAACAGAGTTTCCTGTCTGATCCCAGGCGCTGGGTAGAGCAGCTCATTGAAACTGCCTAAAGCTGGTTGTGCTGGCTCATGATTATAATTCCCGTGCTTAGGAGGCTGAGGGGGGAGCATTGCTACAAGTTCAAGGCCAACCTGGGCTACATAGTGAAACCCTATCTCAAAAAAATTTATAGCTGGGCATTGGTGGTGCACGCCTTTAAACCCAGCACTCAGGAGGCAGAGGTAAGCAGATCTCTGTGAGTTCGAGGCCAGCCTGGTCTACAGAGGGAGTTTCAGGACAGCCTCCAAAACAATACAAAGAAACCCTGCCTCAAACACTGAAACACTTTTAAGAAAAGAAAATGTTCAGTGACTGAACATACCAGAAAAACCTAATGTCACTGGAAAAGAATCATTTCACTCTAGGGCAATAAAGGGCCCAGTATAGCGAGTTCAAATCAGTCTTCTCATGGTGTCTCAGAGTGACTCAGGTACAGAGAGCCCCGGCTCCACCGTGAGAACGTGAGGTGCCCAACACTGAATCACAGCTCCAGCATGATAGAGATAAACCATACAGCCCAACGAGCTCCAGGTTTCTCTGTTGCGTGGGTAAATAGGAGCAGGAAAAACCCTCCTGGAGGGGGATGGAGGGAAAGGCAGCAGGGGCTCCATGGTGGCGGGGCCCAGACCTGTTGGGGCAGGTCTAACATCATCCTTTTGCACTTTTATTTGCACACAGTGGAAGTAACCCAGGTCAGGGCTCTCCATTGCCTATGAGTCCTTTAGGCCAACACAAACAAACAAAAGATTCTGCTTGTTCTCAGAATCCAAGGTAATGGGCTGGAACCAGTAGGATGGAGATCAGTTCTATCCTGACAGCCTTGGATTCAACAAAAGCTGACCTCAGGTGCTGAAGAAAAGCCAGCGAGTGGACCACATCCCTTTTGGGGCTGGCCGGAGCCAGGGCTTCCGAGGACAGCAGGTAACTGATAAGGGTTTTCTGATCCTCCCACAGAGGGTCCTCAGGACTTGCCAAGGTGACATCTCACCGACTGTAGAGACCCCTCCCAGCCTCTGATGACACACCGGTGAACGTGTGGGGTTTCAGCGAGCGTTTCCCTGGTGGAAGCCTGAACACGGTGTCACAGCCAGAGTTTAGGACGTTGAAATCTGCTTTGCTTGAAACTTCACAGCTGCAGACAGATGTGCTAGCGTAGCCACCCAAGGTAAACGGCTGAGGGTATGGTCATTCACAGGGAAACCCCACAATGAAAGAGAGGCACAACAGGACCCTGACCTGGGAACTGACCCCTGGGCTGTCGCCTGTCGTAGGCAAGAGTATCAGAAAGCAATATGATCTCCACAAACCAACCCTCTGCTCAGTTCCAAACTTCACGGCACCTGAAAGGGAAACATTTTGGGTATGTGTGTGTGTGTGCGCGCGCGCGTGCGTGTGCCCATGCACGCATGTGTGTGAACAATTAATTTGGCAAAATAAATCACTAAAAGTTTCCCTTACTTTGTTTCCGTAGAGCCATTTGATTTTATTGGATGAATTTCCACCATCCCACTGTCTGCTTCCTCTCTGCCATCAAAACACTAAATAAAATGCCACAGGACACATAATTTCAAGTGTGACTACAAATGTAATCCCGAGTATATATTCTCTTCTTGTAATGACTATGTCACTCTTGTTCACCGAACAAGACGCAGAGTCAGAGATGTTCAGGACATCTGAGGGGAAGCAAACTTCCCCTTAGAAACGGGTGTTAAAACCAGACTGGAGCAATGGCTGTGTCAATGGAGAGGGGAAACCCCCCTGAACTTAGCAGCCCCTGGGAGGAGGAGAGTTAGCCCCGCCCTTGGGGATGAGCCCACTTACTGGTCGTCCAATGAGGAGTGGGCAGCCTTGAAACCGTTATGTATACGCACCAGCAACAAAAGCAGACTCAGCAGGTTGTGCTTGTATATTTAAGCACACAGATAAGGAACATGTATGTGTGTGTGGAACAATAATAATGAAAGAAAAAAGAGACTATCGGTTTTGAGAATGGCGGGGAGCGTGGGAGGGGGTGAAAGGGAGTCCCTCGGAGAACCCGGAGGGAGTGAAGGGAGGGGGACGTGACATCATTTGATTTCAATTAAAAAGATGTTTTTGAAAAAAGAAAATTAAAGCCAACTGTCATACTCCTTAAAAAAAATAAATAAATGAAAGACGTAAAAGAGTTGAGTGTAAATAAACTCACAATTGTAGGGGCACACAGGGCGAGTTTAAATCAAACTTCTCAGGGTTCGTTTACAGCACCAGGTAAATTCAAAGTTTCATTTCTGACCCCACAAAGCATAACCATGCAGGCTAAGTTAGGCTAAAAATACAAATGTGACACTCACTGATTCCTTGAAAGAGCTCCTCGATATTAATGGCATTCTTCGCGCTTGTCTCCACCACGATGGCACCTATGGATTCAGCATACTCCTTCGCATCCTTCAGAGGCACCTCCCTGGAGAAGAGATCAGACCCATCAAGGAGTGAATGCGTGTTAGTGAAACACGAATACTCAAGAGACCAAACACACAGCACTCGTGGAAACGATACCTTTGCTTTCCTATAGAATAACAACTCAATCACCCATCAAGAATTGAAGACCTGCAATGGATGCACCTTAGAAACTGGTCTCTACCAGGCATAGTGGTCCATGCCTTTAGTCCCAGTAGGTAGATGGCTTCCAGTTAAGGCCAGCCTGGTCTGCATAGTGTGTTCTAGGACAGCCAGGGATACAGAGAGACACCCTGTCTCAAAAAAGAAGGGAGAGGGGGAGGAGTTGGTCTCTGGCAACCATGGACAAGACACACATTTATAAAATAGTGCTTTCTTTACAGAAGTGAATTCCTAGCCTGGAGAGAAAATGCTTGAAAGTATCGGCGATGGGTATTCCAGAAATTTGGATGTCTGTTCCTCACATTGAAATTTAATTACCATTATGCAAGTATTGAGGAGTGAGACCTATAAGAGGATTAAGCTTGAGGGTTAGGGTCAATGCATTTATGAAAGAGAGAGTTCAACCCCCTCTTCTGCCTCTTTGTCCATCCACCTGTGAAAATCCTTCCACAGGGCAACACAGTGCAAACACCATCTTGGAATCAAAAGCACCAAACTTGCCGGCTCCTTGATACTGGATTTCCCAGGCTCCAGACTTGTAAGTCTGTATACTTTGCCCAAACTATCCAGCCAGTGGTATTCTGTTACAGACTAAAACCAGACCACGGCGGGATAGTTTCAATCTTTCTTTCCTATCACATGACTCAACATTAATAATACACTGTGTGTGAACTAGTGTGCAGCTCTTGACATGTTTCTTTTGTGACAGTTTTGGCACATCTGAAGGTTCAACATCCATGTACCCAACTCATTGCACATAAAAGAAATACGCCAACCCACTTCCTAAATGATGCTGCAGGAGCTATTTACACTGTGAAAATGAAGGAGGATGTTTTGGTCCCCAGGTGGTGGCACTATGCGGGAAGGACCAGGAGGTGTGGCCTTGCTGGAGGAGGTGTGTTTTTAGGGTTTCAGAAAGATACCATTTTCAGCGTAGTCTCTTGCTTTCTGCTTGCAGACCAAGATGTGAGCTCTCAGCTGCTCCCGCACGCCTGCACCACCCGTGGACTCTAACCCTCCAGAACCGCAAGCCCCAATTAAACGTTTCTTTCATAGGTTGCCTTTGGTCTCAGTGCTTTACCACAATAATAGTGAAGTAATGAATACACACAGCGTTTGCACCGTGCTAATATAAACAATCTGGAGATGGTTTAAAGTGCACAGGGTGGAGGGGGTGGCCTCTGTACAAACACGAAGGGGCGTGAGGACCTGCGGACCCCGGAAGCCTGACGGGCTCTGAGAACCAACCTGTGAGGACACCAAGGACACCTTTCACAAACGTAAACTCTGTGACATGATCTGATGGTTGGCAATGGAAATCTTGTGGCCATAATGCACCATGGCATGTCTGAACCTTAACCTTCCAAAGGTGTTTCTTACCAAGGCATTAGGAATAACAGTCTGAAAAGGAATTAACCAATCTGGTTTCGATGTTAAAAGATACAAAGGACGGTTCTTAGTCTCCAAAACCTGTGTGTTTATCTAGTGAATGTTTTGTTGAGTGGCTTTTGAATACAGGCCCTCCTCTGGAGTCGGGGGCGGGCACGCCTGTTAGACTGGAGACGAAGCCCATCCATGGGCTTCTAAATCCACAACACTGCAACAGAAGCGCTTCAGGAGTCGAGGGGTGGACACGATCCGGTGAGAGAAGGGAGTCAGGGAGACCTTCTCAGAGAAGGCCATCTTAATTGTGGCCATGAAGGTGAGTATAACACGGGTGAGAATTTGAGAGTGGGCCAAGAGAGGGCCACAGGAGGGAGTGTACCCATGTTTCCTCATCATAGGAAAAAAAAAAACATGTGGCACACCCAAGCTATCTCAAACTAAGAGTCAAGACGGCATGGAGGGAGGGTACAACCCGTGCTTATGTGTACTTTAAAGTTGTCTTCATATATCTTTTTTGGCGGGAGCAGGGGTTTCGAGACAGGGTCTCTCTGTGTGGCTTTGGAAGCTGCCCTGGAACTCACTCTGTAGACCAGGCTGGCCATGAACTCACAGTGATCCGCCTGCCTCTGCCTCCCTAGTGCTGGGATTAAAGGCGTGCGCCGCCACCACCACTCCCCCACCCCCCCACTCCCTCACTCCCCCACCTCCGGATACGTTCATAATTTGTCCATAAACACTGAACTCTAGCCTAGCTTGCCTTGTACACAACCTGTAGCCTAGCTTTATAAGAAGTATCAGAGTCTCAGCCAATCACCACTGTTTGAGCCACGCCCAACTAAGACAGACAGGAACAGCAGCCAATCAGCTGTCACTATATTCCACTTTCTCTTTTTAGATCTCCATTCCTTTCCCCTGGCTCTGAGAAAAATCTGATTGGCTGAACCTTTTCAGAATGGAATTGCTGCTTGATCCTAGAATTAAAAAAAAAATCAAATTAAGATCTGTAATCTTATATATTTGCTGGCGTATGTGGGCATGTGCGAGTCCATGTTGCTGGGAACAAAATCCACGGTCTCATAAATGTTAGGGCTTCGGCGCTGAGCTACGCCCCAGGCATGTATTATTTTACTTTATTTACGTGTGTTTGACGTGTAAGTGTGTACGGCATGGCACCCATGCGGAGCTGAGAACAACTTTTGGGAGCTGCTTTTTCCCTTCTGCAATGCAAGTGATTATTTGTAGAGTCTCGAAGGCCAGAGGAAGTCCTGCCAGTACAAAAAAGAACTCCAGTCTGCCAGAGCGCGTTCACTACTGTGCTTAATAAAAATACACGGGCTGACAAGATGGACAGGGGGGGGGGGAGGTGACGGCCACCAAGCCGGAGTTCACTCCCCAGAGCCTAACATTGTAGAAGGGGAGGATCAGAATCCTCCACACACACATTATATGTGTGTGCAGACACACACGCGCACACATACAAATTAACCTCTAGTACAAAAAAAGTACAAGTACATTTGAGGTCCTTGCCTGGAGTCTACAACACAGAGATTCCCCCAAACTGGCAAGCGTGGGAGTGGTAAGATTGCCTCTTATTTATGAGACTCCCCAGCTGACCTCACAGAATTTGCTAACGTGGGACCCTTAACTAGCTGCAGGTTTAGGCTGGTTACCCAAGAAACCAAGTATGGTGTTAGAGACACTTCCAGCCCCAACCCCCAAGCAGGGCAAGGGGCTCAATAATGAAGCCTGCCACAAACAACAACAAAACCAGCCTCTCAAACAGGAGGCCTGGGGAACCTCATGTCAGTGACCACACAGCCACCGCCAGAGCAGCCCAGGCTAGGAGCAGCGGAAGGTCCTCCCTGCCCTTCAGGGACTCTTCCATTTGGCTGCTCTGAGTTTGCAATCTTCATCACTAACTGTAATTCTAAGTAAGTGCTTTCCCGGGTTTGTTCTAGCAAGCGCCATGAGGGAGGTCGTGAGAGCCCTGTAATTTGCGGTCTGCCAGCCCAGGCAAAACTGTGGGTGATTCTGGGCGGCTAGAGACCCGCAGCTGGAGTCCGAATGAGGGGGTAAAGTGGTGCTGAGCCTCTCCGTGGCTGGACTCTTCACCCACTCTGGTCTCTGCCAGAACGGAAACAGGATTGCAAGGTGCCAGCTGCGGTCAGAATGGTGTGGCGGCAGCCTGGGAGAAGCCCCTTGGCTTGGTGGGAGCACACTTAGTCATGTACAGTGGTGAACACATACGGGCACACCCCGCTCTGTTTCAGGGGTAAACCGTGGCACAGGTTGAAAGGCTGCTGGCATTGACCTTAGGTAATTATGGCTATCATATCCAGCTTGTGTTCATTTGTTTACTCTGTGTGTGTGTGTGTGTGTGTGTGTGTGTTTTGCCTGCATGTATGTCTGTGCACCTCACACATTTCTGATGCCCAAAGTGCCAGAAGAGGGCTGTGGATCCCTGGAACTGGAATTATAGATGGTTGTGAGCCGCCACGTGAGTCCTGGGATATGAACCTGGGTCTTAATCACTGAGCCACCCAGCCCCGATGTCCAGTGTTTTAATCACTCTTCAGCAAAAACTGAATGTCTGCTATATGTCGAGCATTGTGACAGGCATTGAAACAGTTAAATAGAAATTACCTAGACCCGGTTAAGATACAAACATGAGGCAGTCAGCTTTGATGCAAAACTTCCTTTAGGATTTCTAGCCCTTGCTACGCAGAGTCACCAAGAAGTTACAGCTGCAAAGCATGACAGGACCCCTCCTTCATCCAAACTAACCATAGTCTGCACGTCCTGGAACCTCCGTCATCCAAGCTAACAGTCTGCACTTCCCAGACTCTCCTTCATCCAACCTAACCATAGTCTGCACTTCCCAGACTCTCCTTCATCCAACCTAACCATAGTCTGCACTTCCCAGACCCCTCCTTCATCCAAACTAACCACAGTCTGCACTTCCCAGACCCCCCTTCATCCAAACTAACACAGTCTACACATCCAGGCCCCTCCTTCATCCAAACTAACCATAGTCTGCACGTCCTGGAACCTCCGTCATCCAAACTAACACAGTCTGCACGTCCAGACCCCTCCTTCATCCAAGCTAACCATAGTCTGCACGTCCTGGACCCCCTTCATCCAAACTAACACAGTCTACACATCCAGGCCCCTCCTTCATCCAAACTAACACAGTCTACACATCCAGGCCCCTCCTTCATCCAAACTAACCATAGTCTGCACGTCCTGGAACCTCCGTCATCCAACCTAACCACAGTCTGCACGTCCAGACCCCTCCTTCATCCAAACTAACCATAGTCTGCATGTCCTGGACCCCCTTCATCCAAGCTAACACAGTCTACACATCCAGGCCCCTCCTTCATCCAAACTAACCATAGTCTGCATGTCCTGGACCCCCTTCATCCAAACTAACCATAGTCTGCACGTCCCAGACCCCCAAGCTAACCACAGTCTGCACGTCCCAGACCCCTCCTTCATCCAACCTAACCACAGTCTGCACGTCCCAGACCCCTCCTTCATCCAAACTAACCATAGTCTGCACGTCCCAGACCCCCAAGCTAACCACAGTCTGCACGTCCCAGACCCCTCCTTCATCCAACCTAACCACAGTCTGCACGTCCCAGACCCCTCCTTCATCCAAACTAACCATAGTCTGCACGTCCTGGAACCTCCGTCATCCAACCTAACCACAGTCTGCACGTCCAGACCCCTCCTTCATCCAAACTAACACAGTCTACACATCCAGGCCCCTCCTTCATCCAAACTAACCATAGTCTGCATGTCCTGGACCCCCTTCATCCAAACTAACACAGTCTGCACGTCCCAGACCCCCAAGCTAACCACAGTCTGCACGTCCCAGACCCCTCCTTCATCCAACCTAACCACAGTCTGCACGTCCCAGACCCCTCCTTCATCCAAACTAACCATAGTCTGCACGTCCCAGACCCCCAAGCTAACCATAGTCTGCACGTCCTGGACCCCTTCTTCATCCAAGCTAACACAGTCTGCACGTCCCTTCAATGTCAGCATTCCTCTGGTGTTCTGGTGAGACTAAGTTCACACCTCTCACAGCTGGGGTCAGCCAGTCAGCAGCTGACTGAGTTCTCAGGATGGAGGCTGGAATTCAGAAGAGGACCAGGTTCCATGCTTCACGGACCAGCAGGAAACAGGCAGAGCTAGAGAAGGAGAAAAGACACAGCAAGAGGCTGTGGCACATCTGGAGCGGTGACTCCTGACATTCCTCATGGCACATCTGGAGCGGTGGTGACTCCTGACATTCCTCATGGCACATCTGGAGCGGTGGTGACTCCTGACATTCCTCATGGCACATCTGGAGCGGTGACTCCTGACATTCCTCATGGCACATCTGGAGCGGTGACTCCTGACATTCCTCATGGCACATCTGGAGCGGTGGTGACTCCTGACATTCCCTACTCCTCACCTCTTTATCTGGTAACTGCCTAGCTATCAGGCCTGAATTCCAGGAACGAGTCTCTTGTCACTTGTCATGGGAATACACCAGGAGCTTGTCTCAGCCCCTGCCAGGCACAGTGGCCCCTGAGCTGAAGAGAACTGGGGCCCCTCCACTCAGGTCTCACTTCTTCCCCAACAGTAGGTAAAGGGGTGTCAGGACCCCCCCATCATGGCAAAG